ATAACACAATCATACCATCTGTTCTTGCATACAATCATCATCCACCTAATAACTACATCATCATTTACCCAACAACCATCATCATCATCTACCTTGTATACACATCACCATCTACCTTGTATACACCATCACACATCCACCTTGTATACCATCATCATCTCCTTGTATACCATCATCACTCATCTACACCTTGTATACACCATCATCATCCATCTACCTTGTATACAACACCATCATCATCTACCTTGTATACACACCATCATCATCACTTACCTTGTATACACACCACATCATCACTGATCACTCCATTCGTATGCCACCATCATCAATTTTCACCTTGTATACACCATCATCATCATCTACCTTGTATACACCATCATCACCATCTACCTTTGTATACCATCATCATCATTTACCTTTGCATACACCATCTACCTTGTATACACCATCATCATCTACCCAACAATTATTTCACCTTGTATACACCATCATCATCATCTACCTTGTATACACCATCATCATCTACCTTGTATACACACCATCATCATCATCTACCTTGCATACACCATCATCATCATTTACCTTGTATACACCATCATCTACCTTGTATACACCATCATCATCATCTACCTTGCATACTACACCATCATCATCATCTACCTTGTATACACCATCATCATCATCTACCTTGTATACACCCACCACCATCTACCTTGTATACACCATCATCATCTACCTTGTATACACCATCATCATCATTTAACCCCTTGCATACACCATCATCATCATCTACCTTGTATACACCATCATCACTCCAACTCTTGCATCCACCATCACTCATCATTTCACCTTGCACACACCATCATCATCATCTACCTTTGCATACACCATCATCATCATCTACCTTGTACACACCAATTAATACCATCATCCTTGTATACACCATCATCATCATCTGACCTTGTAAACACCATCATCATCTACCCCAGCACACCATCATCATCATCTTACCCAGAAACACCATCATCATCATCTACCTTGTATACACCATCATCATCATCTACCTTGTATACACCATCATCATCATCTACCTTGCATACAACATCATCATCATCTACCTTGTATACACCATCATCATCATTTCCACCTTGCATGTATCCCATCATCATCATCTACCTTGTATACACCATCATCATCTACCCTTGCATACACCATCAACATCACTTCCACCCTGTATACACCATCACTCCACCCTTGTATACACCACTCATCATCTCACCCACACCATCACTCATCTTGTATACACCATCATCATCATCTACCTTGCATACATCATCATCATCTACCTTGTACACACCATCTCACACCTTGCATACCATCATCATCTACCTTGTATACACCATCATCATCCTGCTATCATCGTACTCCTGCCTCAACTAAACTTTCTCCCTCACTATTCCTTACCCTTCTCCTCCTCTCTCATCCCTCCCTTCAATATCTCTCACCCTCCCATCAACAGTGTTCACCCTTTCTCTTATATATCTTTACCCCACCTATCCCATCCCCTGCCACCTCTCCCTTCCTTCCCCAAACTCCTTCTCTCTCCTCCTACATTCCTCCTCCCACCTGGCATCACCTCTCACACTTCATCTTTATTGCTTTTGTTATCTAGTTGTTGTGAGGCTGATCAGTTGCTTTGTTGGCGCTGTTGTTTGCGTTGTTTTGTTCCTGTTGACTTTTGGCTTTCGCTGTTACCTGTTGCTATTGTTACCTGGTGTTATTGTTACCTGATGCTATTGTTAACTGATGCTATTGTTAACTGATGCTATTGTTACCTGGTGTTATTGTTACTTTGTGCTATTGTTACCTGTTGCTATTGTTACCTGATGCTATTGTTACCTGATGCTATTGTTACCCGATGCTATTTTTACCTGTTGCTATTGTTACCTGATGCTGTTGTTACATGTTTTATTGTTACATGTTGCTATTGTTACCTGTTACATGTTACCCGATGCTATTGTTACTGTTGCTATTGTTATCTGTTGTTATTGTTACTTTGTGCTATTGTTACCTGTTGCTGTTACCTGTTGCTATTGTTACCTGATATTGTTAACTGACGTTATTGTTACTGATGCTATTTTACCTGTTGCTATTGTTACCTGATGCTGCTGTTACACGTTTTTATTGCTCACGTTGCTATTGTTACCTGTTACTATTGTTACCCGATGCCATTGTTACCTGCTATTGTTATCTGTTGTTATTGTTACTTTGTGCTATTGTTACCTGTTGCTATTGTTACCTGTTGCTATTGTTACCTGATGCTATTGTTAACTGACGTTATTGTTACCTGATGCTATTTTTACCTGTTGCTATTGTTACCTGATGCTGTTACATGTTTTTATTGTTACATGTTGCTATTTTTACCTGTTGCTATTGTTACCTGATGCGGTTGTTACATGTTTTTATTGTTACATGTCGTTATTGTTACCTGTTACTATTGCTACCGGATGCTACTGTTACCTGTTGCTATCGTCAACATGTGCTGCTATTTATCTATTTTTCACACCAACATTTTTTATATTTACTTCTAATTTATATATTTTTTGCTTCACCTCCGTCGCTAATTAAGCATTTTCCGCTATTTGTCACATATTTAACTTTTCCTTAAAAACGCTGTAATTTCCCACCGTGTTTTTTTTTCGAGTGTTTGTTTTTATTCGTTTTTTTTAACTTCCATCTGTTGTTTTTCATTATGTCTTCGTCCTTATTAATTGTAGTTTTGTTTCTATTTTAAGCTAGATTATGAGTCGTAAGTTGAGAGATTTTGTGTATAAATAATCCTTAACTATATTTGAGTCATAAAGAACCTTACGTTAATTTTTCTCTCCTGTAACTGGTGACGTCAGAATAGACTTAACCCTCTCACTTAACCAACAACCTGAAGACGACGAACAGTTTAAATGGCGCCAAAGTTGCACTGATCTGTAGTCTCAAATATTCACACGTAGGGCCCTATTCTTAGTTTGTACTGACGTCAGAACTCCCATAATCCTTTGCGCGGTCCACCATCTTGTAGGTATAAGAACATAAGAAAATAAGGAGTCTGCAATAGGCCGGTGGGCCTGTGCATGGCAGCTCTTGTCGAGAGTTACTTCCACTCTCTATCATCTATGAATCTATCCAGCTCCTTTTAAACTTTCCAGCGTTCCAGCACTTACTATAAAGTTGCTAAGCTTGTTCCACTCGTCCACCACCCTATTTGTGAACCAGTTCCTTCCTATTTCCTAAACCCAAACTTATCCAACTTAAATCCGTTGTTACGAGTCCTATCCTGCTCGGATATTATAAGAACTTTATCTATATCCCTTTATTGATTCCTTTCACCCACTTAAATTTCTATCATATCTCCCCGCACTCTTCGTCTTTCTAGGAAAGCAAGTTTAATTTTTTAACCTATCCCGGAATCATTTCGTCATTCTTCGCGTCACCGACTCCAGTGAATTGATATCCATTCTATAATAAGGCACCAGAACTAAACCGCATAATCGAGGTGTGGCCTGACTAGCGCAAGATATAGCTGCAATAAGACCTCTGCACTCTTATTACTTACACTTCTAGATATAAACCCAATACTCTGTTTGCCTTATTTCGAGCATTAACGCACTCTTTCTAGGCCGTAGGTCCGGGCTTACAAGTACCCCTAGGTCTCTTTCACAAGTCGACTTCTAGGTTGATGTTGCATTATGGGAGTATGTTACGTCATGAGAAAACTAAGAATAGTAAAGTCTCAATGTATACAACGCCATCATTAGTGTTTACGGTGATCGTTAATGTGTGTGCTCTTAAGAATCTGTTTCGTGACTTAAGGATCGTTTTGTAAATCATCCACTTTTAAAATCTGACTTGAGATTCACTCAGGTACAATATAATATTAGACTCTACAGGTGAGAGTAGCGGCAGGTGTTCCAGAGGACGACACGGCAGCCAAATACCACCAATCAGTCCAAGTGGTGCCCTCGTAGACGTGGCTTCCGCAAAGTAGTCTCTCTCTCTCTCTCCCCCCCCAAAAAAAAAAAAAAAGTCCGTAATCACACTCAGGGTGAGAGGTAAATTACACGAAAACGCTGAACTTCTGTTTTCCTATATATATATATATATATATATATATATATATATATATATATATATATATATATATATATATATATATATATTTATATATATTTTACTCAGTCAACTACGCCTTTCCCCTCTCTCTTAGTCGCCCATACTTTCACCCCTCTCCCTCACTTTCAGTCGCCTTCCTCCTCACCCGTCTCTTTCAGTCGCATTCCCTCACTCTCCCTCTCTCAGTCGCTTACCCTCTCACCTCCCTCTCCTGCCTCTTCAGTTCTCTCCCCACTCAAATCCTCTCTCAGCCTCCTCCCACTCAGCCCCCTTTAAACCTGAGATATTAAAAAATCGATATTTATTGTTGTTTGTGAACCCCACTTTTATAACTTCCACAGTTTATGCGTCGGTCTGTCACGGAGTTAATTGAACTTCCACTTGTAAATATTTTATCGGTCTCCCAGGCTCTACCAAGGTACACAGTCTCTTTCTTATTGATTCTCTTTATTCTAATTACTCATTTAATACATGTATTCTTTATGTATACAGTATACCTTTATTATTTTTCAAGTTTTATTACGTTTGTTATTCTACGTGTGAGTGTGTGTGTGTGTGTGTGTGTGTGTGTGTTTCACAGTTACTGGTGATAACTTAAAATTCAACAAAAGAACACAAACAGTCACATACGTTAACATACGCGTGCGGACACATACATGAATCCCTTCCACGAAACACGTACGCGCCAATCTTACTGACTCTATGTTCTCATGCGCATATATACCACACACACACACACACACACACACACACACACACACACACACACACACACAGACTATAGGCACAACACCCAGACACAACACCCACACAACACCCAGACTACAACACCCATGAACAACAACACCCATGACTACAACACCCACGACTACAACACCCATGACTACAACACCCACGACTACAACACCCATGACTACAACACCCATGACTACAACACCCATGACTACAACAACACCCATGACTACAACACCATGGCTACAACACCCACGATTCACAACACCCATGACTACAACACCCATGACTACAACACCATGACTACAACACCCATGACTACAACACCCATGACTACAACACCCATGACTACAACACCCATGGCTACAACACCCACGATTACCACCCATGACTACAACACCCATGACTACAACACCCATGACTACAACATCCATGACTACAACACCCACGACTACAACACCCATGACTACAACACCCATGACTACAACACCATGGCTACAACACCCAGATTACACAACACCCATGACTACAACACCCATGACTACAACACCCATGACTACAACACCCATGTATGGTCGTCCGGCATCTGTGTTTAACAACTTCCTGGGAGGTCACATCACTGGGGTCATGCTCTTGACCCAAGTTAACACGACCAATATTCCTGAACAAAGTCTGAATTACTAAAACAATATACAGACAGACTGTTCACATGAGCTGATAACACACACACACACACACACACACACACACACACACACACACACACACAACCGGAGGAAAGTTAATAGCTTATACGTCGGGAACTAAAAACAGACATACAGACAACAAAACTTGTAATAGCCTGCCATAAAGCGCCATTAATACAGGATACGGTAGAGTCTTACGAGTTATATACTATATATTATTTCTTGTGTGTCGAGAAAGAGAAAATATTAAATTACCAATCAAACGTAATTGACTAAGTACGTTATGAAAGACTTGATCGTGTTCGAAAAAGAAAGTAAATGAAAGGCGTGTTGACCCTGTTTGGGTGCCAAGATGCCGGCAAGTTTGAGCCAAAAGCGCCACCCCGCCGCGGTGAGCGCCAAGATTCCCGCCCTTACGGCTACAAAAATCCCCCACTCGCATTAAACCCTAATATTTGCACCTGATCTTTCTTATTGCAAGATCCATAGACGATCAAAACCCCATGAACGCTTGACAAACAGCCTCATATGAGGACCGTAACCACTGCAGTAAGTGGGACTAATGAGTGACTAAAGAAGGAGAGAGAGAGAGAGAGAGAGGCCAGGGCTGAGGCGGAGGGGGGGAGCTTCACTCATGGCTAACCTGTGAGTTGGGCGCATTGCGGACTGGAGCCGAGTCAGATGCCAAACACCGCCACCCATCCCCAGCTATCCCACATGGCATATAACCCGTTATCCTATATCATATAACACCACACTTAAGCCCACACATCAGTTGTAACTTTCACACCATCTTCACTATAAACCGAGCGACACCTGAGCGAGAACATCCATAACTCCTGAAGGGAAGGAAGCATACAATAAAGTGACAACAACAACAAAAAATCTTGACCTGAATCTCACGGTGTTTCTTTTTACATAATCCGCTCTTGGCAACTGTCTTCCTGCTTCTCTTACTTTTCTTTTAGAGGGTTATCCTCCTCCATCCGATTATAATTTCAATAATTCAAATCGGAGTAAAGGACGAATGGAGGGAATCGGAATTTATTAATGCAATTGAATCCGATCTCTTGATGCTATTGAATCTTATCAGGTGAGAGAGCTGGAAGAATCGCTCTGGTTTTCCAATGTCTTTTATTTTTATATCTGTCGTATCACCTTATCCTGGGGGTCTCTATTGTGTGTGTGTGTGTGATGCGTAGTGTAATGGGTGTAGATGTAGGTAGCGTAGTGTAGTGGGTGTAGGTGTATAGTAGTATCGTGGTTGTTGTATTAGTAGTAGTAGTAGTAGTAGTAGTAGTAGTAGTAGTAGTAGTAGTTGTAACAATATAATGAAGTGCTTAAAGTAGTTGTGTAGTGGCTGTATTTGTAGTGCAATGGTAATATTACAGAGTATTGGTCGTAGTTGCAGTGATAGTGTAGTTATGGTGCTCTAGTGAGTTTTAACGGTAATAGATATAGTTCTGTAGTAGTAGTAGTAGTTGCAGTAGTGAAGTGACTTAAGATGTAGTACTAGACTAGTGGTTGTAGTCGTAGTATTAATGTAATTGTTTTATTAGTAGTGCAGTGATTGGCGTAATATCAGTAGAAGTGTAACGATTAGTAGTAGTAGTAAGGTTGTAACTGTAGCTTTAGTAGTAGTAATAATAGTAGTAGCAGTCGTAGTAGCGGCAAATTTTGTAGTAGTAGCAATGGAAACTACATAACAGTGATAGCAATAGCAAGTATAGCGGTCACAACACCGAGGATATCAACAGTAGATAAAGCAAACTTACAACTGTACAGCCACACACACACACACACACACACACACACACACACACACACACAACACATGTATGATCATTATGAATAACCTCTCGTGCACACATAAACAGTCTTAAAAACAGTCACAAACAACAACAAATCATGCTACAGAGGCCACAAACAACAACCCATACTACAGCAGCCACACCAACAACCCATACTACAGTCACAAAAACAACAACAACCCATACTACAGTGCCACAAACAACAACAACCCATACTACAGTGCCACAAACAACAACAACCCATACTACAGTGCCACAAACAACAACAACCCATACTACAGTGCCACAAACAACAACAACCCATACTACAGTGCCACAAACAACAACAACCCATACTACAGTGCCACAAACAACAACAACCCATACTACAGTGCCACAAACAACAACAACCCATACTACAGTGCCACAAAACAACAACAACCCATACTACAGTGCCACAAACAACAACAACCCCATACTACAGTGCCACAAACAACAACAACCCATACTACAGTGCCACAAACAACAACAACCCATACTACAGTGCCAAACAACAACAACAACCCATACCAGTGCCAAACAACAACAACCCATACTACAGTGCCACAAACAACAACAACCCATACTACAGTGCCACAAACAACAACAACCCATACTACAGTGCCACAAACAACAACAACCCATACTACAGTGCCACAAACAACAACCCATACTACAGTGCCACAAACAACAACAACCCATACTACAGTGCCACAAACAACAACAACCCATACCACAGTGCCACAAACAACAACAACCCATACTACAGTGCCACAAACAACAACAACCCATACTACAGTGCCACAAACAACAACAACCATACTACAGTGCCACAAACAACAACAACCCATACTACAGTCCACAAACAACAACAACCCATGCTATAGCGCCCAAAAATAACTAGTCAATCTAGCCCACAACAACAACAACAACAACAAACTAGGCTACCACAAAGTCAACAAAACAACCTATCTTAACATTGAACATAAACAATAACAAACCCACCCACAGTGCACAAACAACAACCTACCCTACCCACACTGTACAAACAACAACCTACTCCTACCTACACTGTACACAAACAACAACCCACCCCTACCTACACTGTACCAAAACAACAACCTACCCTACCCACACTGTACACAAACAACAACCCACCCTATTACACTGCACAAACAACAACCTACCCTACCCACACAGTCCACAAACAACAACCCACCCTACCTACACTGTACACAAACAACAACCTACTCCCTACCTACACTGTACACAAACAACAACCTACCCTACCTACACAGTACACAAACAACAACCTACCCTACCCACACAGTCCACAAACAACAACCCACCCTACCACACAAGTACACAAACAACAACCTACCCTACCCACACTGTACACAAACAACAACCTACCCTACCTACACACAGTACACAAACAACAACCTACCCTACCCACAGTCCACAAACAACAACCTACCCTACCCAACAGTGCAACAAACAACAACCTACCCTACCCACAGTACACAAACAACAACCTACCCTACCCACACAGTACACAAACAACAACCCACCCTACCCACACAGTACACAAACAACAACCTACCCTACCCACAGTGCACAAACAACAACCTACCCTACCTACACAGTACACAAACAACAACCTACCCCTAACCACACAGTACACAAACAACAACCTACCAGTTAACATGTAACTGGAACGAAGCATACCGA